GAGAGAGAGAGAAAGAAAGAAACAGAGAGAGCGCACGAGAGAGAGAGAGAGAGAAAGCGAGAGAGAGAGCGCGCGCGCGCCCGCGCGCGAGAGAGAGAGAGTAATACACACAGACACAGAGTGAAAGAGACAGACAAAGACAAAGAAAGACAGTCAAAGAAAGAGAGTCAGAGAGCGACTCGGGCTACCACACTCACCGATGCAGTTTCTGCTTCCCGCAGAGAAAGGCACGAAGGCGAACGGGTGCCGACCCACGGAGTTAGCTGTCGTGAATCGCTCCGGGTCGAATCGCTCCGGGTCGGGGAAGTATCGCGGGTCACGATGGATGAAGTACTGGTAGATGATAATCGCCGAGCCCTTCGGAACAACGAAGTCGCCTGAAGCAGCGTGCGCGCCGACAGGACGGTCAGTGAACGTCGGGATGGAACAAATAATGAACGTCGGACGGTCGGTAGAGCAGAGAACGTTAGGAAGGAACGTTGGGAAGGAACGTCGGTAGAGAACGTCGGCAGGGAACGTCGGGATGGAACGTCGGGATGGAACGTCGGCAGGAAACGTCGGTAGAGAACGTCGGGATGGAACGTCGGCAGGGAACGTCGACAGGGAACGTCGGCAGGGAACGTCGGCAGAGAACGTCGGCAGAGAACGTCGGCAGAAAACATCGACAGGAAACGTCGGCAGGAAACGTCGGCAGGGACCGTCGGCAGGGAACGTCGGCAGAGAACGTCGACAGGGAACGTCGGCAGGGAACGTCGGCAGGGAACGTCGGCAGGGAACGTCTGCAGGGAACGTCGGTAGAGAATGTCGGGATGGAACGTCGGGATGGAACGTTGGGAGGAAACGTCGGCAGGGAACGTCGGCAGAGAACGTCGGCAGAGAACGTTGACAGGGAACGTCGGCAGAGAACGTCGGCAGGGAACGTGGGTAGAGAACGTCGCGCACGATTGTTCATGAAGATTGTACATCACGAGTGTACATAACAATTATTGTACACAACGATTGTACTTCTCTTGTACATACGTATAAATGTATCACTTGAACATATGTATAACCGATAAACATATGTATAACAGATAAACATATGTAGAACAGTGAAACACATGTATAACATGTGACCATATGCACGACATGTGACTGCACGTATATCAGATGAACATATGCACAGCAGGTGAACATATGCACAACTGGAGAACATATGCACAACAGGAAAACAGATGCACAACAGGTGAACATATGCACAGCAGGTGAACATATGCACAACAGGTGAACATATGCACAGCAGGTGAACATATGCACAGCAGGTGAACATATGCACAGCAGGTGAACATATGCACAG